GTGATCGTGTGTTGCGTTTGACCCTCCACCGCTTGTCCCGTGTCTGTCTGGTGTCTAGTGTTTTACTGTCTCACCACACACACACACACACACACACACACACACACACACACACACACACACGTAACTCAGACACATTCAAAGTCACAAGCTACCAATACGTTTGCACAGACGTATGAATATGCATATAATACATGGACTCGCAATCTAGAGCCAAGTCAGCTGGTGTGACGCCATATGTTCCAGCGTTGGCAGCGCCACAAGCCACTGACACACTTTTAGGAAATAGCCAGGTCTCATTTCAACAACAAGGAAGTACCAACAAGTCTACACCCACGCAATTATCTGTTGTACTGAATGCACAATGTGTTTTTCCATGGAGCAGAAGTGGCACATAGCGTGTGAGTAAGCCATCAACAAGCACCATCTCACACAGTGAAACTGTGTTCTCTAAACAGCTCTCTTTTTCTGTAATGCACACCTAATAACCACTCAGCTTATAGATTTAACATTTTCTTTTTACAAATAGTTTCGTGAAATGAACATTTTGAATACTTAGAGACAGAGTAATTATTGACCTAGAATGCAGTATCATTTTAATTAAACTTGATGAAAGTTTATGTAACTGGGAGCAGCTCCATTGAAAATGTGTATACAAAAAAAATCAATCAATTTGGAAAATAATCCTCTCTTGGCGCTTTGGTGCCTCCATAAACATTTTTAGAATATCATGACACAATTCTGGAAAACACAATACATCAAATATAGCTTGGATATTCAAAAAACTGTCACAAAGTTTATTTAAATCCGCACCTATTGGCTCACTGGTAAACCCAGACAAAATTTGCTCGCTTCAGTAATTTATGGAGCTGTCAAGTTAATCCATACAGAGCATAGAGGAATGTTTGAATTTCAACTCCCAGAATACTACCAGGGCCCCAAATACCATCCACAGGTTACAGTTTTTCTCAATCGCTAAACCCACTACTTAGAATCAAAATTCCTTTCATCAAACCAACAGCACAGCCATCGAAACAGAAAACCATTTCTCTACAACAGTATACCATTTATCATTGATATCACACGAAATTCAGATGCTAAGCAGTGTTTTGCAAAACAGATCACACAATTCTCTAACTGAAGTTACAATTCTCTACACAAACATCAAAAATCTTTTGTGTAACTCATGTCTACAAAACAAAATAATCTTCTCACAGTGGATAACACTTACTCCTCATAAACCAAATGACCATTCATACGTCATTGTAAGGTACGTCAATGGAAAAAGTTACCTCACTAACTGACTATTGTTCACAATATACGAAACGTGTAGTTCACGTTTAATCACATCNGACGCAAATTCGCTCCAACGGCAAGCATGAAGCGGTGTATGCGAATTCCGCGGCGCGATTGAAGGGGGCCGCGACAAACGCTCAAGTTCAATTTTTTCAACTCGAGCGTCATATTCGCGTGACGAGATCTCGTGGTAGCCAATCAGCGGTGAGGATCTCAGCCTGCCGTCATTGACGTTCAACCAGAAAACATCAGCCGTTAGCTGTTAGCTGTCAGCACACAGAGCTCACAGCTCCTCATATCTGTTCAGAAACTGGACAAAAGTTAAACAAGTACAAACCACAGACTGTCTGTGTCATGGTGAATACAGTCGCTGGTTTATTTATGTCTGTATAGGCCGTTGTTGTGAGTGTGGAATGAGCATACAACGTTAGCTGAGCCTGGTCGACCCAATCTCCATTCAGAAAACACGCATTTTAAAAGGTGTTTCGCCCGCCGTCTTGTCTGCAGACTTGTCAAGCATTAATTCATGGTTTTTACTAACCGGTATCAGTATGTTGTTACGTCAGCATCATTTAGAAACGTGTATTACAATTTAATCACGGTAAAATATGTTCATTTTGGTGTAGTTGTAGCCCCCGAGCCAGCGCGTCTTGTTTGAATGACGCGAGTAAACACAGCTGGCAGCCGCGGTGAAACTCAAGCGATATTCGCATCGTGTCCGGTGTGAACGCAGCATTAGGCTCACACTCTGTCGGAAACCAGAGTCTGCTCTGATTGGTTAGCTGGCCGGCTCTGTTGTGATTGTTCAAAACTGCTTAGAAATCCCACCCATTAGACTATCATGAACAATGCGCTAGAGTGCTGGCCAATTGAAGCGCAAGTGTTACATAGTGATGTCACTATGTCACAGAAGTAAACAAAGGAGTCTAATGTAGTAAAACCAAATGAAAGAACTGAGTGTTCTTTAGCATATGTTGCTAACCGGGTACGGCTAGGAGGGGGGGTGGACTTTGGTTCCGCATCATACAGTGTATTCTATCAACTGACACGGACTGTTACAGCCATATCTAATGCAATGCTGTCTAAATGAGGAATATGATGATTCTAATCAAATGCTTTTCATTTGAACTTTGCATTTCCTTGCAGGCCTTTCACTGTCCCACAAATCCTCAGAAAAGGACACAAACCAGAATTTGAGGAGGAGGAGGAAGAGGAGGAAGAACCACTACAGGTACCTACTGAAATAATTCCATGATGGCAGATCCAACATTACAGAAAACTTATTTTAGACCTAAAGCTTAGTGATAAGATTAAAATGTTTTCTTCACGTTTTATCGTTACAGTATTTTTGCATGTTGCTTAAAATTAAGACCATATGCAAAGCACAGGAATGTATTTCAAACATACCATAAATAATAAACTACCCTCTGCTGGGCGAGGCATACAACCTGAAGCCGGTAATTACAGTTTTTGGTTTCCTTTGTGCCTTTTCCAATCCCGTGTTGACATGTGAATCTATTTTCATTTCAGAACAACGTAAACAGGGACCAGTTTGTGCAGGACCCGGCTCTGCTGAGAGAGCGGGCCGAGGCTCGAAGAGCTGACATGCATCAGAAGAAAGGGTAAGACTCTCCAGCTGGAAATCCATCCAAGAACACTCTTCATGATAAATAATGCTTCTCTAGATTTTTCCTCATCCTTTTTCCCCTCTCAGTAAGGTTTATCTTCTCTTAATGAATAACAAATTGAGGTTAGAGGCTGGAAGAGCCCTCTAATGCAATTTAAAATACTAAATATACTTCATATCAAAGGATATGATCTGAATGGAAATACAAAAAATAGCAAATCACAATAAAAAACAGTGACTATGCAGTACTTAATTTCGAGAACATTTAGTTTTGACCTTGGATAGAAGCATGCTCTCGCTGTATTAAATAAAAGTCCTGTAGCTCTTCCACTACTGCTTCCCTCCACACTCTGTTCACTTCCCTCCATCCCTCCCTTCCAGTTTCCGGCCGGAGCCGCGTCCCAACAACGTGGTGGGCCAACCCAAAGGCCAAGGACAAAAGCAGGAGACGGTTGTGGACCGACGCAAGAAGGAGGCCAGCAAGGGCCGCGGGGCCAACCACAACCGCCGCAACATGGCCGACCGCAAGAGGAACAAAGGCATGATCCCCTCCTGAGCGGCAGCACGGCCCGCTGCGAGAGAGACCAAAACACAAGAATGATAGACGGAAGGCGGCGGAGGTGTGAGTCAGTGAAGGGGAGGAAAAACTGGGGGCGGGGGGGTTGTTCTGTGTTACATTTTGAGCCTTTAGTTGTCCCCTCCATCACACCTCAGCCCCAAAGACGCTGTCTTAGCTCAAAGGAAAAGCCGCCAAAGGTTTTGAGTTGTTGGAAAGTTGTAGTAGTTTACGGACTTCCTTCGGCAGGGCGTTGTGATCAGATGCTGTCTGATGCTCTGCTTTTAGGGTTGGAGCCCAAAGGACTTACAGCTCTTCGGCTCAACTGATTTTCTTTTTATAGCTCACTAAAAGCCAAAGTCCTGAGTGTCAGCCAGAGACTGTGGGCAAAGAATAAGACATATTTTTGCCAAGTAACAAATCATTTATTATTAAGATACAGAGTGAAAGGCTGAAGTTCCTTTGACATAATCAGATAAACAGAACATAGGAATAAAAGGAGGAAGTGTCCAGGGTTAAGGAGAGACTCTCTTCTGTAGCTGGAGGAACAGTTACCTAGTTAGTTGACCTGCTGAAGTCTGGACATCAGTGCTGCCCTTACTCATCCTGTGGGAGGAGCTGGCTGCACGCACGTAATAACATCTACCCAGTTCACACCACTGTTGTCCAGTCTTCAAAGAAATATAGCGAGAGAAAACCCTGGTGTTTTGGAAGCACGTACAGGGGGAACCTCCGACATGTGACCATGATGCAGAGAATATTTTCTATAAAGAGAACAGATCTATCGGAGCATTTTGAAATCTCATGTAAATGCTTTCTGAAGTTGACATTGAAAATCTAAAACAAACGTAAAATAAATACAATAAAACCCTGTTTGACATCCTTCGAGTCATCTTTAACCTGTTAAGCCCGAGAGGCCCCTAATCCGGGTCTGGTGGGTAGTTTTTTCATGAAACTGTGTCTCAGGGCTTCTTGATATTTAAAAAAATCTATTAGTGTCATACTCACTTAACGGTTAGAAACTCAGCTAACTGAAGATATGAACAATTTTTACCGAAACAAAGCACAAGTCTCACAAGACCTAAATTAGACCTGAACGAGAATACCCTTATTACTTATCGTAACTGCACATACAATATATCAGATTTAAAGCTGAGATTCCACAGATTCTATAGGTATTGGTATCATCACTGAGCGATCAGAACTCGCGACAGGGGGAAAAAAAAGGCAGACATCACAACACTAACGGCCCGTCTACACTACAGGCATCAAAAAATCTTGATGCTGGGCGTGTCTGAAGCTTGGCGATTTTTTGCGAACAACAACCAATCACATGAATCTCCCGCCCCCGACATACAAAGCAATAGCAATGTTAAAATGAAGTACACTGGATATAAACTCTCCAAACAGGCGAAAAACCTACCAGTTTCACCCACTGTCTCTGCCACCTCCCTCCATGCCTGGTTCCTCCGGTTTGTATCCCGGTAGATAGTTCTGGTCGTAAAGAACCGGGTGATTNCTGAAACTTTCAGAATCTCTTTACACAGAGGGGACACATGTTTGTGTATAAAAGACATGAAATAGTGGATTTTGCATAATAGGTGACCTTTAAAAGTATCAGTCTTTGTAGAAGTATAACTAAAAGTAGTAAAAGTTGTTTTACCATCTTTCTTCCAAACCACAGCTTGGTTTTCATAAGCTCCTCCACAGCTCACAGTAACGTTCACCTCCCTGCTCACACCTTTAGACCTCTTCAGCACCAGAACTAGTTCAATCAAAGACACAGGTTTGGATCAACATTTACTGTTTGAAAGGCAAAGAGAGAAATGGAGAGGAAGATTAATAGTCAGTAGAGAAAGGAGGAGTTACCAACCATTATCCATCAGAGTCTCTACTTCGCCTTGGTCACTGTCAGAGCTGGCGTAGCAAAGACCAGCATACAGGACCACGAGGAGCAGTGCACGCATCTGGAAGAAAAGGTAATAAGGTAAGTGGAATCAAACTTGTATAAGTGTTTTATCGCCTTTGTTTGGGAGATGTACATGAACAGAGGAAAATGTATTTGCTTGAACCTCAACTGCTCAGCTGATTTTGATAACAAACTGTTTTTCACCACCAGGTTAAAAAATATGATTTCACCTAGAACTATAATAAAGGTTGTTTTCATAGTTTCTAATACGTTTATATTCTAATTATACAACTAAAGCGAAATTAAGTTACAAAGTGAAATAATTGTTACAAAGTACAATATGTGAAGAGAAAATGTATTTGGTTTCCCAAAAAGGAAATTCCAACAAAGCAGTGCTGCTAAACTGGTTTACCTTGTGATACCTTAAAACGAAATATGTCTGCTTGTGACCTCAAGCTGTTTTCGTTTTTATTTTAATATTTAGGATGCTGATGAAAAGATACTAGCGAGTACAGTTATTAATTAACTGGTAACTCTAAAATGCCTTTAAGTAATTTCAATATTTGCATAAGTAACTACACGGAATAAACTGAAACGTTGACTCTAATTAAATGTATTATGTCAACGAATTTCAAATAAGTGTATTAGGATAGTTGCAAGCAGTAATGTTAAGTTTAAATAGATTCAACTTAATATTATTGCTTTCAACAAACCTAATACAGTTATGTGAAATCTGTTGACATAATACATTTAATTAGAGTCAACGTTTTTCAGTGTAGTTAATGATGTGGTGTTCCCATTGAGTGTTTAAGGTGTAGATATTGTCTGAATTATTAAGAATCTGGCAATTTCTTTCTAAAGAGTAAAATGCAAAATGTGTGAAACCGGTGTTAATCTCAGAATACATACATAATACATGTGCAAGAAACTAACATAGATAACAGAAATAAGTACATGAGAACTTACCTTGACAACTGGACTTGACCAAAAACTTTCACTTCAATCTGATCTGATGAGGATGCCAGAGAGGAAGGTTCAGTTTGTCTGAATCAACTCCTCATGCTGTGGTGTATTTATATGGATATAAGCAGAACGAGGTTGAACGATTTGAAAACCCCCAAGAGGAACTCTCTCACTTATGCATGTGTGTGTGTGTGTGTGTGTGTGTGTGTGTGTGTGTGTGTGTGTGTGTGTGTGTGTGTGTGTGTGTGTGTGTGTGTGTGTAAATACCAGAGGTGATAATGTTAGATCCTCGTCCATCATTTGGAAAAGGAACATTTTAAATAATTATGAAGCAAAAATAACATGTCATGATATTTCTTCACCCATCACACTGTTTTCCATCTCGTGATTTAGGCAATCATGAGAAAGATGCAGTAAATCCAATTCATTAAAAAATATATTCCCATGAGAAATTGTGTGCATGGTTTTGCAGCCACAAAAACCATTGTGGAGGAAGTCATGAACAACCAAAGAGACAGAAACCTCTAAGAAAGGGAACTGGAAAAGCTCTAAAATGTGCACATGACAGTGGTGCGGCTCAAACAGGTACCTTGGAAAAATGGTCATGAGAGTTCTCAGGAACAGCAACAAGAAAGAAAAAGTTGGACGGATAACACCTACATTCAAGTGGAAAAGGGAATGGAAACACTCGGATGAAATAAAGATGAAAACGGTTTGATAAACATCACAAGAGGGCAATTTAGATAAGGTTTGTGAACAAAATGTTTCTTTGCCTATAGAAAAGCAAGTGACGTGTACAGAGTGATATGGAGGATTTTCCATCATTCATTCAGCTTCGGTCTTAACCACTAACATTTTACTACGCCACTGAAGGTTTCTCTGCAGCAGACCATTTCCTAGATGTACACCTCTAATTTATTTATAGTTCTAGAGATTAGACTTAGCTGTGTGCTTGTTAAAAAAGGTAATAGATGACTGTTGCTCAGCGTTTGTGTGCTTTGTGGTTTCAACAACATGTCCTTTGTATTCATAGATTTATTTTCACTAGTATGTTGTCACTTTACTTCTTCTTGGCACTACATTTGATACCATAGATTTGTCCCAAACTTCACTCTGAAAAAAAACCCAGAAAACTTCCAACACACCTCCCCTGACACTGAATCATAATCCCACCATAAAAGCTTCCATACTGAAATGTGTCAAAACAGAGAAATATGACGTTGAGACCTCGATCAGGTGAAAGATGGAGGTATTTCCCAAAAAAAAAGCCACAATTAAAGAGGCCACTGTGAGGGCTGATGAAATGCCACACTGACCTAATAATGTATTCACTTCCCCTCTGCCAGTCACTCTTGACCTTTCACGTTTAATAGCATGAAAGTTGATCATTAAATCTTTTTCCACATGGTTGACTGAGAAGCATTGTTTAAAAGTGATATGATTTACTGCAGAAAGCCTGTTAGCTGTCAGGTCTCTTCCTCATTATATCATTGATTTAAAGGACATTTGTTTTTTTGCTCAGCTGGCAGAACTTCTCTAAAACACAATCCTAACAGGGTCTTATTTTCACTAGAACATGCATCACAGAGATTTCTTTTTAAAGGAATGTTCCATGTTCTGTCAGGCTGGAATAAACCACAATTAAAAGAAGGCAGTAAGAGGAAGTTGGAAAAAGGAAAAGAGGAAATCAAAGGAAAGGTGAAGCTGTTCTGCTATGAGCATATTTACTGTGAAAAAAGAGCCTGACGTCCTTATCAGCTCGGATAATATTAACACCCAATATATCAGCTAATCGGGGATTCATTGGGTTCAGTCAATGTATCGATCATGGGTTTTAAAGACTGAAAGCAGGGAGAAACAGCTATCTGACCTTGTTTAAAAGTAAATTAATCCACAAAATTGTACCTAGGGTACGCTTAGACATACGTGGATTCGGGCGATCACCTGTCGAGGAGATTTTTTATCTGAAAGCTCATCAAAGTTGAACTCCATGGGAAGCAAAGATATACATTTCCTGAACATGTTTCTTCGAAATATGTCCTGAAATGTGACAATTGTTATTTAATTTATGGAATTCATAACCATTGGTTTCACTGGGGTTGCTTCTTCATAGATTTTGAAACTGCAATAGTTTTAACGATATACGTATGGGTGAAAACTGGAATCAAAAAGACATTGTGACACACAGCCATCATTTTTTTCCAAGCAAATAATGAGACAGAGATCGAGGAATAGAAACAATTATCCATTTTAATTAAAAACATTCTATTTTGAATCAAAATATGCAACTGTGTTTCCAATGTTCCATCTTTTTACCACTTGTTTAAGTGTTGCCACACACACACACACACACACACACACACACACACACACTCTCTGATTGTTCCGTGAAGCAGAGTGAAATAAAGCGTTTTAATCCAGCAGCAGCTCGGTAACACACCTCATGCCCCCCCAACACACACATGTTTAATACGAGCGCCTTTTCTTTACAGCATAGTGAACTGACTTGATCCCCAAGGGAAGTGTGTTCTTTATTTGATGCACATATAACTCAAAATGGTCTGAAAAAACCGTCACGATTGTTAAACTATATTCGTTCCTTTCTTTCTGTCCTGCACATGTTCAGTTCTATTGAAATGCTAATGTTTTCTGATTGTTGGATGTATAACCCTGTAGCCTCATAAACAGAGTTCTGCTGACCCGGAGCCGTTTGCTTTGCCAGAGAGCAGAACCTGAATGGATACTGAAACACAGAAACATCTCGGAAATCATCAGTGTCGCTAAGAAAACCCTTTACGCCATCTGATAGGGTTCTCTTTCTGTTGTTGTTCAGTTTCCATAGGAACAGTTCAAAAGACTTCAAAAAGGTCAACATTTCAACATGGAAAACGAAAAAGGAAGAGTCTTTTCTCAATTAAAGAGTCCTTTAGCTCTGGCAGACAGCCAACCTCTGCCCAAAAACAGAAGAGAGGATAAGAGAAGAGAGGATAAGAGAAGAGAAGAGAAAATCAAAAGAGAAACATCTGAATCAACTTTCATTATTTGTTTCTCCCTTGTTTTATACTCCCAGCCCGTTCCAGGAAGCCATGTTGGGACGAGTTAATTTTCCACTGGCGTGGGCTCTTGCGGCAGTTCGGCTCCTTCCTCCCCCGCTGGCCCAGAGGCCTCTGGTGTGTGTCCTGGTGTTTGTCCTGGTGTGTGTCCTGGTGTTAACAGCGGCTCGGGCTGCGGCGGCTGGCTGAGGATGACCTGCACCACGTAGTCCCTGGAGATGTTGAGCTGGTCCAAGCGCAGCCTGTCCGTCAGCGGCCGGCCGGAGAAGAACCAGCGTTGGGTCGCAGCGGGAACGCCCTCCTGGTTTAGGAGACGGCGCTTCATCATGCCCACTGTGTCCGTGGAGCGGACCACCAGCCGCAGGTCGCGACCCGTGGAGAGCCGGAGCCGAAGCAGGCACTCTCCCCCTGATCCGGCCTCGCTGGCGCTGCCCGTGGAGGGGTCCGCGGCCCCGGAGTCGGGGTCCGATCCATCAGGTTCGTCGGAGCGCTCCTCAATCATGTTGACGGGAGGAGAGAGGCAGTAGACCGGCAGCTGGTACCGGTTCCCCAGCTCATCGTAACACTCAGTCAGAGCTCCTGGAGGGAAGGAAACATGTCAACACTTAATTAAAACAACTTCAAGTTTGGTTAACAGTTTTCAGTCAGTTGTGAAAATATGCAATTCTTCAGTTTCATTGAGATTGTGGAGGGACGCAAAACATTTTTCTATACATGTGCAATCTATTTATCCCATTAAAGTACACCACACGTTAGAAAAAGGTGAAATATTTCCATGTTATGGAATGTGACATTGTAGGATTAATATGTGCACTACTACTAGAAAGTACAAACCTTTATCTGCAGCGTACTGTAAACTGCATACACATTTAAACAAACCTGTGTGCATGCAGGTATATTTAGTACACTGGGTGAATAATTTACCACTAAAATCTGAGCATTACAGGTGAACCATCAACTTTCCCCTTAATCTTTCACTTTAAAATGAACTGGATAAGTCATGCTTGATAAATAGTTGGCATTGACTGTGTTCCTGTGTTGACCAAGCCAAAACCTGACCTCTATTCACATTTCACTCAGGAATAGGAAATGAAAGTAAGTCTCAACAGAACACAAAGACGTGTATGGAGTGAAAGCGGGAGAAAAGGGAATGTCATGCGTCTGTTGCCCTTAAAACTAATGATGTCACTGTTGACTGTGATTCAGACACAGAGTTGGTGGAGAGAGAGGGAAATAAGATATTGTGAAGAGTTCATAATATTCCACAGAAACAATGAACAATGATATTCGCAGGGGGGACCCCAAAAGGTCCTCAAGGGGATTTTAAACAAGTCCCCCTCAAACAAGGGCTTGATGTCAACTCTTTCATTCCTGAAAAGTCCTTCTATTGTGGTAATAAGCCTTTTGTTTTTGAACTGTTGAAGTTCAAGGGAGGGTCTTTTATCTAAATTAATGTTTGTCGCATCCAAGAGTTCGCCAAATAAGTCACACAATGCTGATAAAGACTTTTGTTGCGAGGGAAATGATATGGCATTATTCCTGAGTTTTGGTGACTTCGCACACCAGCACACACACGCCTACAGGTAAGATCGCTGCCCCCCCCCCAAAAAAATTGGGCTCTCTCTTTAAAGTCTCCCAGGGCAATTATTTTTCCTAAATACTGATTTTCTGTTTTTTATCCGGAGCATACACTCAAAAAACTTTCTTGGACCTTTCTCAGAACATTTTGCCACAGCTTCTACCAAACTCTGAGCTTTTACTGTAATACACAATTATGAATAAAATAAAAAAACACTTGTCTTTTCTCGTAATGACTTTTAAAAAGGTGATCTACCTTGGAGCCAAAACTAATTAAAGACCAGGGTAAAAAACTGTCCCCTCAAAAGCAATAAGTGATTTCAAAAGTCATTTTGTAAATGTTTTAAAAAGGTCAGTGGACTACTCATGTTGTTTTATGACATGTTTTGAGGTACAGGCAACTAGAGCAAATTCGTTTTGTGGTAAGTGAGACTGAGATGAGTCCTCAGCCCACAGGATGTTGCTCTCTGGTCTCTAGATGACGAATGCTGTGGTCAAGGTGAGGACAATGTAAGCCAATGTTAGACCTCAGGACAGTCTCACCAAAGTGGATGTGAGAGCGAGAAATTGAGGCTTCATTTAGATTGTTTGTAGAAATTAAACGGTACTAATGTGGATAACAAGTGGGCTATTATTGTCACAGCACTCACCAAAAACCACTTTGCGTGAAAATAAATGTAGAAGTTATATCAACACCAAAACAACATCCGTCCTCTCTTAGCGTGAGCAAATCATACGTAGGCAAACTCTTTTAACAAATGGGAACAAATTATTTGCAAAATGTTTTTAATCTCTCCGCTTCTGGCACTTACATAACTGAAATACCAGGAACCAGATTCACCAGACCAGTTTGATGAAAAAAATTTTTAAGGTCTATCACCCCTCTTTTTTGTAGTCTGAAATTATGTCAATAAATGTATGCAAGTACTCTAAATCCCTTCCTGTAACTATGACAAATGAGCAAAGAAAGCCAAATATGGGGAAGCTATCTTAGCCATTAGCCAAAGTCACAGAAGCTAATCTGAATGTAATGGTACACATGGGTCACTGACTTTCTTTAAATATGTTGCTATGTCTGTATACCTCACTTGCTTTTTCCCCTGGTGGCTCCACTTAAGTCCTTCTGACTTCTGCTACAGGAAGCTAATGGTTTCCTGGTGCTGCTAATGCCTTCAGTTGTGGGATTTCATTAAACATTGAGTTTTGATTGAATAAACCTCCCAAGAGAGGGGTTAAAGCCGTGCACCTAATTTAAGGGATTTCATCGTTTGATCAAAGCTGGAACACATTTGTAAACATAAAAAGTATGTGTTGCTGGTGTGCTGCATTGCATAACCTTAAGAAGCTGTACTGGTTATGGCTCAAACAGAGGACATTTCAAATGTGCATTTGTGAACATGATATTTAATTTTTTTGCAGGTTGGATGGACGCCAACATGTTGACAAACTGATTCAAATGACTCCCATTGTTATGCTTCACAGAGTCACTTCGGAGGACCGCAGATCAAGTTGGTCTCCAATCCAATTATACGCACTGAAAAACGAGCCCATCAGCCGATGCATCTCTAATGAGGCAAAAGTCTCCGTTAGGAATACAGTGGGATCTAAATACCCATTTCTATTTCCTGAATGGCACAAAAACAAAGTCTGCACTATAAGCCAATACATTTCCGTTCTGTAATGGAGCTTTTTTTTAAATGTAAGCATTTAGAAGTGGTGGATCATTGACTGCTTCTAAAAAGCTGATATTGAACCAAATAGTACTACAGTGAAACAGCATGTTCCCCATTCTAGCAGCTTTATTCACAGGGTGGAAATGTCAGATGATCAGCTCACCACTTCGGCCCAGACTACTGCAAACTATTGGATAGATTGCATATGCCATGTCATTTGACTGCCAAGAAATCTCTTTTTGGTGATACCCTGTTTTTTTTCCTGTTACGCCATCAAGTCAAAAATATGATTTGTCCAAGACTTTGTTTTGTCCAAAGGTATTCCCATCCGCCTCAGTTGTATTTTGTGTAAAGTTCTGATTAGAAAACATTAGCATGCTAACATGGGAATCATTACACCAGCTTAGCATCAATGTTAGCCATTGCATTGTGAGAATGTTAGCCTACTGAGGGCACTACGTCCACATCTTAATCTGTCTAAGTTTTTTGTGCAAAGCACTGTGAACTGTGCTTACATACCTAATTGGAACTGGAATGGCAAAAGCAGAAAAAGTCATGCACTTGTTGGCAATATAAATATCTAAGTAATCTGTCTGCTATTTGTACTGAGTTCTGGAGAAGTGAAGCGGTGACATCAGGCCTGGGGAATCCACAGCTGCAGCCCAGCGGGATCTGATCTGACCCGTCCAAACTACTAAAGGCAATGGAGCAGGACAATACATGCCTATGTTTACCTTCACAAAAAGCCTTTTGTCACTGATATACACCCAAATCATTTTCAGGTAGAGCTGACCTTAAGAGTTGATGTCCCTGTTGACGTACTGGGTTGGGCACAACATTGGCACATCACCATGGCATGTCCAGAATGAAATATCACAATGAACAATAATGATCAGATCCTTTTATGGGATATTTATAGGCTAGATGTTTTTATACTGTGCTCTCTGCCTCCTCGGTCCTCGGGACATAAACTAGACATTTATGCACAATCCAGTGAGATTAGGCCTACCATCATTTTTTACTTTGAACTCCAATACACAATTCTGAAGCAGTATTGCAAAGGATAAAAAGTATGAGTTCGATACCCAGGTATGTGTATGAATAAAACGAGATTAGATGATGAGCAGTTAGGCAATTCATTTGGCAGCTCTGCCACCAGTGTAAAGGCGATATGACTATGAGGTGAAAGGAATTAGGAATCAAAAGAATGACGCACATCCACAAATAGAAAGCCTGTACAAGCAGATGATGATTTATGTGTGAAGATGCTGGGTTTTCTGAATCGGAGCCAATTATATTGATTTGTTCCATCTGAATGGTCTCCAGTACGAGTGAATGTACTTGAGTCCTTTCGAAAGACCAAGTGTATGCCCCCTTAAATGTATTATTTATTGATTCCTAATGGAGTATATAACTCCTAATAGTCTAAGCTCTACAATGTGGTCATTGAGATACACTTAAGAGTCTCAGCATCAGCATACTGTAAATGACTGGAGTTGCTTGGAATACGGTCCACATTCATTAAACACTCACTTACTGTGCACAGACGCCACCAGCCTAAACAGACGGCAGACTTACTTCCTGTTTATGAAACTTCAACACCAGACTTGAAACTACAGGGGATGTATACAATACTTCCTGAGGAAGCTGTCTTACATATTTCTTCTCAAATCTTTTGTTGTTACCTATACATATATATAAAAAGAGCTGATATTTACTGGGCCCCCCCATAGGTAAAGGAAGCTGTCTGGTGGCAGAAATGTGTGTCTGACTGACAGAGCCATTTCACAATCTTTGCTTTGCTCTTTTAAGGCCCATACAGGCATTGCCCTCTTTGCTTTTATATGTTCACTTACTTGCTGCTTCTTATTTCTGTTCCATGGATGGGTACTTATTAGGTTTTCTTCATAAACATGTGCAATCTCTCTATTTAATGTGTTACTTTTTAACTTTTGTCTGGAGTGTCCATTTGCTGGAAATTGTAAATGTACCCTGCTGTGGGACGAATAAAGGACTTCTGATTCTGATTAACTTGAGATACACATAAAAACTACAAGATCTGCAGCTTTCAGTTAAGACTTGTGAAACTCTTACAGCCGAGTTTGAGTCTCTCTAGACAATTTGGGAAAAGAGAGTTGAAATACTTGAAGTGGTAATCATCCTCTGCCCTGCACAAAGGCCCCACAGCGGTATTTGAAAGAGAGTACAACAAACATGAGCTATTTAATACGTCTTCCTCTTATGTCATACCAACTTATCTGTATTTGAAAAACTGTCCAAACGACTATGGCATACTAAAACTTTAAAATGTCAATAACGGTCTATAATATATCTCTTTTTGTTCTGTATTGTGCCTGTACTATACCGTCTAATTTATACCTGATCGACAGCACTATAGATCAGGTATAAATGAGACGGCATTCATTTTTTTGTAATGTTTATTCTGCCTTATACGGATCACAGTGTCAGATGTATATATTTATACTTGATATCACTCTGCACTTTACTACTTCTTTTGCACTTCTCGTTAGATACTAACTGCATTTTTTGTTGTCTTAGTACTTGCACTCAATCACAATTAAGTCTAATCTAATCTAATCTTATTTGCTACATCCTTCACAGTGGCAATGTGCCTTACCATGAGGCAGTGTGATGCTGGCCCCGTCGAGGATGGCCTGAGCCAGCAGGTGGTCGCTGCTTTCAAAGGCGCTGGCCGCGGCCCGCAGAGCATCCCAGATCTCTTTCCGGCCCTCGAATGCTGGCGCCGTATCCCAGAACTCATCTCTCTTGCTGCGCAGCTGGCCTTCAGTCATCGGGTAGTCACTTTTCCATTTAGGCCGCTCTCTCTTCAGGGGCTGGTTACGCCCTAGAGCCACTGGGAGGGAGAGGAAAGCAGAGATGGAGAGAAAAGAAAGATAGGAGGGTGGAGGGAAGATGGAGGAGAAGAACCAGAGGGGAAAGATAGAAACACAGAGTATGAGTGTGAGTTAAATCAAACGGATGTGAGGAAAGAAATAACATGGGGATTGGTAGAGGAGACGGAAGGATGGAGAAGTAGAAGAAGAAGAAGGGATAACGAGGACAAAGTAAAACAGAAACAAATGGGGATGTAGGGAAGAGAAAGTAGACACAAAGTGTAAGATAGAGAGAGGTGGGAGGATGAAAATGAGAAGTTAGAATAATGAATAAAAGAAAAAGAGGGAAGAAGGATTTATTTGAAACAAAGCATCAGTCAGATAAGATTTCTCTTGTTAGATGACAGATTAAACATGAGCTAGCATGTGATATATACATGGAGCTCACACAGTCTAAGCAGAACTGAAGCAAGACGTGTTGTGTTACTCAACCCAGATACAAGGTTAGGGTTATAGCATCTAACAGCGCTCCATCTGCAGCAGAATAGCTGATGAATAACACCATCTGGATCAACACCGAAGGGGACGACAGGTAAAGGACGGTGTGTACGTGTGTGTGTGTGTGTACGTGCAACACGGAGACATAAGAGGGGAGAGAATGACGGATCAAGGTGTTTAGTTACACCTGCTGCTGGTACACATGTACTCTGATGATCACATGGCACAGTCTGATAACAACAACAACAACAACAACAACAACAACAACCTTCAACTGACTGTTTATAGTAAATAAAAGCCCTGACTGACTGACTGTTTACGCTGACTTTCTTTCCTATTTGGTTGTGTATATTTTCATAGTTAACCGTTATAAAATAAAAAAAATTATTACCAGAAGGGACAGAGGGCAAATTAAGTTAAAACTTCAGGTGTGCTTGTTGGAAACATTGCAGCAGTAAACTCAAACCAATACATTTAATGATGATTTTTTTTCTTCTGGCTATTGTTTTCTTGATCAATTTTTTACATATCCATCGTCATTTCTCAAGGTCATGTCTGCAATTTTTGCATAAAAAAATAACTTCAATATTTATTTATTTGAATTATTCTAATTGAATAGTTAATCTCACAGCTCTCATGAACCACACATGTGGTTTTGCATAAATAAGCAGCTGCTCATACTAGCTAAACAGAATATGTACATTAAACATGTTCTGCAGGCAGTTTATTAAAAGTAATCTGCAAAAAAAATATCTTCCTTTATTTATGAATATTTATATGTTATCACCAACTTGACTACAGGCCTACAACCTGCATTAGCCTACTTTCCAGCTCAAAATATACTAATTTACTTATAAATGCTAGCCCACTTGCCAGTCTTTCAGGAATTCTCAGAAATCCTAAGGGCTGTATGTGGGCCAGTATGTGTGAAAGTACATGTGAACCAAGCAACCTTAGTTATGAGACCTGCCTCGGTGAAAACAGATAAATGTGCATGTGTTGTGGTCTTATTGCATTGTTTCTGTCCTCATCAAGGAAAGGTGTCAAGTAACAGCTGCTTGTCTGCATGTGTTTTAACACTGTGTAGCTTCTTGTTACTACACACACTCCGTCACAGATAAAGGGATCTCTGAAACCTGTTTATGTGACATCTAGACTTCAAGGAAGACAGGGAACAAATTGTCAAAACGGATGTAGAGCCACAGAGGAAGACATTAAGGAAACCAGGCTATATCTCAGCATCACTAAAGTGCTCAGTCCCCACCCCCAACACAGCTCCGTCTCCCAATGTGTGATTAAAATAACTTACTCTTCAGAAGTGAAACCCCTTTTCAGATCAGACAATCAGGAAACCACAGTAAAAAGTTATCTACAGCACCAAATTAAAACAAATCTCTACAAAGAAAGGCCTTGTTGTTCAGATTCAAAAAATCTCAAAGCATCTTTCTTTCCTCCATGTATCCATCAGTTTCTCCTATTTACATGTACACACTATTAAACACTATGCTGGTTTTTCTACCACGGTACATCCTCCATATGTAATGCACCTTTTGATGGTTTTAACCCAAGTTGTAGTTTAACCAGTAGTAAAAATAGTGGACCCTAAACATATATTTGTAGATGGGGTAAATCATGCCCCATTACCTTAGGTATTGCACACAAAGAATAGGCCTAAAATGAAGCTTATTCGTTGCAGTATTTTATAGTTTGATATTACTGTTCTGCTCCCAGTGGATGGACAGCATGGCGCTTGTAGCTCTTGGGCCTTGTTCAAATAACCGCAGATATATATAACACACTTCCTTTATCATAAAGCTGAAGCACCCTTTAAGTGTTGACACCTCCTCCTCTTTTCTCCCCAACACTTCCCAGCTGTAAACAAGAACCAACACCAGAACAAAACAGTAATTGAAAAGCAATAGCCTAACATTGGTCGATTTGGTGGAGCATGCTTTAGGATAACAGTCAGGACATCATTAAAATCAGACTGCATCACTCCCTTGAATGCCAGAGCCGTCTGTGACCCATATTTGTTATGCAGAAAAAGCTACCAAGCTAACTGGGCTACATTTTAGCCGAGTAGCTCAGTCAAAAAACCAAAGAACAAAGGGAGGCAGCGTCGCACAGTACATTATCCCCCAGTCTATAAAGTAGCGACGAGGCGTCATTTCTCGCTTCAAGGCCCCGCTGTTTGGAGCGAGATACCCGGGAGGGCTGCCATGTCTGTCTCCGGCTGTCTGGCTCGGGTATAAAGGAAAACTCCAGCACAGGACAACATGCAAAAACCCTGCAGGACCCCCTCTAAAAAACGTGTTTGTACTAAATGACGCGCAATACGTTACCTCCAGTGCCGTCCGAGTTCTCGTTTAAGCTGCCCGAGGAGTCGTGGTGGCTCCCGACACAGCCACCCATGGATGTTTCGGCAGAGCAGCCCGGGCTAGGTAGCTCTCCCCCCGGCCCACAGCTAGAGCTACATCTACCAGCCCCCCTTTCTCTCCTCTCTCCCCCCTCCCCTTCACTTCTCTCCTTTCGTCTCTCCACGTTACCTCCTTCCCTCCTTCGTTCCCTTCTTCCTCTCAGCACTGGCGGTGCGAAGCAGGCATCCTCTTCATCTTCCTCATCTTCCTCTGTGGGGAGAAGAAAGAGAGACACATCGTTACAAGGTGACCGAGGGAGAGGGGGAGAAAGGAGGAAGAGAGAACAAAGGGGAAGTGCACTGTAAAAAGAAGAAGATGCCGTCTCCTCTGGGGCAGCACATGTTAACTTAAGACATCAGAATATGTTGATGATAATGTGTTTTGACACCCCTGTTACATTTTGTGTTCAGGGAAGGTGTTTGCTGTCCTGAAGAGTCAAGTAATGATATCCTTATAATCGTGAATGTCAAGGAAGCCCCCTGCTTATGTAAAGCAATAGGCAGGGTCATGCATTTTATTCTATTCTACTGTCTGTACTCTACTCTATTCAATTATATTCTGTTCTACTCTATTCTACTTTACTTTACTTTAATCTATTCTGTATACTCTACTTTATTCTAGTATTTTCTATTCCACCCTTTTCTATTCCATTACACTCTGTTCTGTTATGTTCTGTTATGTTCTGTTATACTATACTCTGCACTATTCTACTGTACTCTATTCTGCTCTATTAAACTCTACTCTACTGTATTATATCATATTATATTGCTGGGAATGAATATAGAATCTGCATGGGTTAGATTCAGCAGTAGTTTGGGGGTTTTACGACAAACCACTGAAATGCTGGTGAGTTGGAAGGTGGAGAGAATTAAGGAGGCATGGGGCTCAGAAGAGGATGAGAGGGTGGAACACACACACACACACACACACACACACACACACACACACACACACATACGTTTGTTCCATAGGTAAATCACATTTCACTACACACAGTGAAATAGTGGTATATCTTTTCTAAAGCATAGTATTTTAGTGGTTGGACTTGATATTTGTTTTGCAGGGATGAATGGGATTTTACATTGTGGAATGACAGTTATTTATGGCACTTACTCATTGCTTCATAGTCGGATCACATATCACCACACACTAAAATGGTATTATTGTTCTTTTCTATTCCCTCGAGCATGATAGGGTTTCATTGGATAAACAGATTTTGAGAAGCAGACGGTAATTCAGTTACTATTTGTCTATCTTGCACAAAGAGGTTTTTTTCATACTGTACATGCAGTTTGGAGGTGTTAACACACAGTAGGTTGATCAACTCCACAACTCCAGTCTCTCACTTTAATTCTGTTTTACATTTTCATTGCACTGTAATCCTTTCCTCTCTCTCTGTCAGAGCAGTTCTGCACACTCTATTTCTGCATCCGAGTGTTGCCATGTTACACCACATGGACACACTCCTGCCTGGTCACTATCTTTAGGACCGTCCCAAAGAGACTTGAGTGTAATTTGAAACACTGGCACGGACACATTCACATACACGGTCACTCTTGTGTTCATGTACACACACACACAATAGCAACGGGATAGCGGGGGTAATTTTACCACTAAGCTGTCTGGAATTACAATTATTTCCCATTGCTTGGAGCTTCAAGCAGAAATGTGTGAAGCAGAAAGCTTACTTGGAAACCCTTTCCTGATTGTCTTCATGGCGTAATATGATGTAACAAGTTACTCAGAATACATTTGACATGTGGCTGCGTATTCTGTGATCAAGGTCACAGCAGGAGATTCAGCACAATCTTTTGTATCTTCTTCACACCTCCTGTTCATGACGCAATTGATTGAACATCGCCTGTTTTAAAGCTGTATGTCGCCTGAGGGAAGTGATTTTAATTTTTAATGTTGCTCTTTTGGAGACCAAGGAGTGAGTTTAAATGTAGATTACTGAGGCATTGTGGAATCTTAAACCCACGTTGTTTCGAACATTTCCTAAAAATGTTACAAGGAAACTCTAAACTTGTTAAAACATGGTTCCAATTAAAGTCCCACTCTGAGGCCTTGCTGTTTTTTCACTGTTGCATTGTTAAAAGCCACCGTAAGCTGTGAAATAGCACCCATCTGTTCAAGGCAAGAATAGGCTGTTGATTAAACAGACATGCTAAGTGTGAAGTACATTTTAAAAGAGATGTACAGTGACCTCTAGTGATACACTGCATACAATATCCTGTATGGCTGGGCTAAGAAAATACATTTAATTTTTAAAATACAGTAGCCTATAAACATTTTTTCCAAATTAGAATTACAGACATGTTGAAAACAAGTTGACAAGTTGCACACAAACAAAACTGTTTGTGTGCATACCAGAGGTGGGGACTCGAGTCACATGACTTGACTCGAGTCGGACTCGAGTCGCATATTTTTGGACTTGAGACTTGCTTGACTAACATTGATAAAAGACTTGACTTGACTTTGACTTGGTATTCATGACTTGAGACTTGACTTAAGCTTGAGACAGGTGATTTGAAAGGACTTGACTTTTTAAAATTAAATATTTGCGTTTGTTTATGTATTACATTTAGTTTTTTCAAAACGTGATTGGGTGATTATAGCGCTGTGCGCGCAAACCTGGCAACCCACTAGAAGGCAGGAGTGTCAGTTAACATGGCAGCGGCTAGCGTTACTCCACAAATAGTCAAGTTTGGATTCAAGGATTATGTTGTCGATGACGCTAATAAGAAAAGAACTGCGGTATGCAGGGTCTGCAGTATAAAGATCAGTGACACGACCACCACAACATCCAACTTCATTCGTTACTACAAAAAAACCCACAGAGAAAGGTGCGTGAATGTGTTGTGTTAGCTAGAAAGCTAACGTTAAGTTTAAGCTACGTTAGACTTGGTTTCAAATCGATTAAGCATTTGAAAGAGAAGACAAATCGGTAAATGAACACTTGAACCGTCAATGGATTCATTTTGACTAACCCTGATACTGACGGGCTGTCAGGAGAGGGAGAGAGAGAGAGGGAAAGAGATGCCTTGTTTATTTCCCCTGTGTTATTATCAGAAGTTACTGTAAACTTTTGAATAATGTAGTTCATCTACTTCTAGTAGTTTGTTTAAATGTTTTAATTATGTTGTTTTTGTTTGTAGAAGTGCATCATTCTTTGATTTATTGTAAAAATGAATCTGAACTTTTTGATCTGTTATGATGATAAACTGAAGCAATTTCTAAATTAACCCAATTGAGTTTTAAATTGTCCTACTTAGTTTATAAGGAAATTATGAAGAGGAACAAATTAAATGATTTGAAAATGATATCTATGTAGGTGCTGACGCTGTTGGCGGTTCTAGTGTTAACATACATTTAAATTAAATATGTGTAATGGCAAATGCCAGTGACATCCAGTCACCAGTGACACCAGTGACTGCCAGTGACTTGGGACTTGCTTGATACTTGTAGGTCAAGACTTGAGACTTGCTCATGACTTGCACATGTAGGACTTACTCCCACCCAGTAGCGTGGGCAGAAATGTACTTTAGGGTGGGCCTGTAAAAAATAGGGTGGGCAAGATTCTTCTGCCCATCAGAAGCTAACAACAATCCCGCCGGTACCGGTGGCAGATTACTTTTAGAATACTTTTGGAATACTTTATTTTTCCGTAACAGATGGGTATGTTTTGGTGAACAGGAGACACGTATTTTACTGTTTTAATGGCTTATCAAGAGCAAAAACACAACATCTTGGTGTCATTCTGGACAGCTCTCTCATCTGCACCCAACATAAAAAACATCACCCGGACCATTATTTGTACTTTCTTAAAACCTTTCCTTAGAATATGTTATGAATTGTAAGGTGTCCTTGGGTGCTTGGAAAGGCGCCCCTAAATAGAATGAATTATCATTATTATCTATTATTATTATTATTATTATTATTATCTGAAACGGTGTAATAACTTTTACATTTTATCCCATTATAAATGTCATCATTTTGACAATAAAGAAAGGCTACATAAACATTATCTTGCGCATTTTATCGAACCATCTCCGTTTTTAACTTTGAATATATTTTAAAAGAGATCTCTCTCTCTCATCTGCGTGCGGGGGCGGGGCCTCACAGACACGCTGCATCTCTCTCTCGCTCACAGACATTCTGCAGCGCTGTGCCGTGTGCACACAGTTCTGCCGGTAATGAATATTACATTTTGTCAGGAAACTTTTCCACCAATAATTATAAGTATTCCAAAATGTATTCACTTCAGGTTTACGAAAGTAACTGTAATCAGATTACTCATTAATTAAACTTGATATTTTTTCACTTGAATTTCACTTTGAATGCTTGGATATTCTCAATGGGTGAATACATTTTTTTATAATAATAATACATTTAAATTTAAAAAAATGTAAATCGACACCGAAGCTTTCTCAGGGTGGGCCAATGACTAAACTTGGTGGGCCCACCCTGGCCCTATGTTGGCTACGCCACTGCTCCCACCTCTGGTGCATACAGCCTGTTATAGTTATGATAAGGCACGAGTAAAAGGGCTGTCATTGCTGATTGCATGGGTTTCATCAGATAATCTTGAAACGTATAAAAGAGAATATTAAAAATGTGTTAAGTCATATATTAATTACAAATGTATATATATAAATGATGAAAATCCTACTTTTAAAGTGTGATGAGTTGATTCTTCTGCTTGTACATGGATCTATCAAAAGATGGAGCCAGAGAGTCTGAACTGCAGACGTAGGTACCAAAATACTGTTTGTCTGCATGTGTGTGTTTGTTCGTTTGTGTGAGTGTGTGAATGTGTGTGTGTGCATGCAAGTTTCGGAGAAAGACAGAGACAGAGGCTTAAGAGGAACATCCATGTTGTAAAGACTCAGTGTAATTAAATACACTCGATGGTTTTTCAACATAAGTTCTTTCATTCTTTTTTTGCTCTTTCTTGAAAGTGAATAAAACACATTGCACATGTCATAGAGCCGCAGTAAGTAGACGGCCATCATGTCAGATATCCTCCATCTTTGCTGTAATATTTCTGTTGGATTTTGGTGGCTCCACTGAGCTCTTTGGCAAATAAACGCCAGCAACCAAATGAATATGATGCATGTGATGAACATCACTATCTGCTGGCTCTGTCTGTCTGCTCTTCAGGCTTCAGGCAAACAATTCCTCACAAGGCTTCCTTTTTTTCGGTTGAAGAAACATGACTTTTTTGGATACCGACCAGAAGTCTTTGCTTTTCACAGACTCTTGAAGATAACTCGTCTTTATCTGGCACATTCTCTCTAATCTCTCTTTGTTGTTTCTTTCACTATCTCAACCCTTTCTTCTCTTATCTTCATTAGCAAGCTCCCCTCCTTCCTCCTCCTTCATCTAAAGCCAACAGAACAGCTGACACACAGGTTAATAGGCTTGTCATTGATTTATTCTCAACAGCCCAGCTTGTGTGCTGCCCCAAGTCTTCAGCCATACATATGTCCTATCATCTATCTCAGCGGTTCTCAAACTGTGGTCCGCGGACCACTGGTGGTCCGCGAGGGTACTGCAGGTGGTCCGTGGAGAAAAGCTAAATAAAATCCACTTTTTATTATCAAGGATTTTCGGGGACCACCTCATATGTGACTTGCTCTATCAAAATCAGTCGCATTGACCCGAAGACACATTTTGAGTTGTATACACTGTTGGAAAGAGGAGATTCCTAGCTTTCTATTGATATCAGGCATCATATCATATCATATCAGGTCGTTGGGCTCATCGGACATTTATGAGAGAAAATCTCTAATGTCCGAGTGCAAGTGAATGCACCACAAGACACGAGCCTTGTAACCCCTCCCCCAGCCCTGGCGCGAGCGTGGAAATATNAAATGTAAATTCAATATTTGCCGCCAAATAATT